ATCCGTTTCTTGCTTCGCATTTTAAACACTTAGTTTAACTAATCTGCCTCTGTATGGGGCGCTAATATGAGCAAAATGACCCGCTGTTCACCCTCACATTTGCTTACGCCGTTTCAGTACCCGAAAATAGCACAAACACAAGTAGAAAATATATCGGTAAACTGAAAGGATAACTTGGAAGAACTGCAAAGTTTTTTCCATTAAATCAAATCAATAATTCTAATAGGTGAGCGCGTCGTTTGAGTTCCTCCGAACTTTTCGCTGAAACTGCTTAATTTAAAGTGTGCTTTAAGGTAAAACAAGAAAAAACAAAAAATTCGGAGGGACCCATACGACACGTTCACCTGGTAATATTTTTCCCTTCTTAACCATAAAGGTTCCTTCTTCTTATAGGAGCGTGAAAATGTATCAGCAAAATAAAGGGCTAACCTTAAATTGGCCCTTCCACTTGTCCTGCGACCACACTGAACTATTGGAATTGTAATCGACGGCTGTAATCATTTGGGCCATTCCGCAAAAATGTCCGGAACCGTTCACCGAAAAGAACAAATACACACAACCATTGCCTTCACGTTCGCGATATGCCTGATCCAGACGCTTGTTCCCGTGCTCGGTGCTGCACCAAATGTCGTACTGAAAATTCAGGAAAACCGATCACATCCAGAGTCCAAAGCCCTCGCCTAAACCAATACCTTGATGCTGCGATGAATATCATCCTCCGAGTACGATTTGATCACGAAGAATCGGGCATTGGGCGCAGAAAGATCGAAATCAGTGGGGTTGTAGTTGTTCTTGCCTCGCAGCTCTTCAAGCAGCGGATGGTTCGCTTGCTGGCTAGGCGAATTGGACATTATCAGTTGAATGGGAGCCGGCATCATACCCTGGATGGTTTAATCAACATTGTTAGAAAACTCCTGCCGATTAACGGTAATAGGAAAATATTGCTATGGGATCGAAACTAACCTGAATATGGGAATTAGGCGGTGGGCCTGGTGGCGGCAAATGGGTGGGCATGATGGGCGGCTGTTGAAATGCAGAAGCGGGCGGCATTTGGTGCTGATGTTGTAGGCCTCGTGGAGGCGGCGGTTGCAAAACCTGAGGCTGCCGCGCCGTGGGTTGAGGACCGTTCCAGCCAGGACGAACCGAACCGGATCCAGGAACAGGAACGCCTGCTACTGGCGGCACGCTTGTCTTGAGCTGCGGCGGAAGCGGAGCACAAGTAACCATTGGCATCGGCACTTGAGGCGGAGTACTCTGCAAAAATTCGCCACGTGAACCCGCTAATCTTAGTACGAGTCTCGTCCAGTCTACCTTATTGGTCTCCCATGTTCCGATATCAATATTGTGCTTTCCAGGAACTATCGGACCAGGCGGCATCCCGGGGCCCTTTTTCTTCAACCCCTGGCTGGGCATAGCAAGCGGGGGCTTTGCAGGCTGACTGGCGATACTCGCCCATGTAGTTTTCTTCTGCTGGCCCAAGTCTTTATTATCACTCGAAGATTTCAGTTCTAAAAGGCGATAATCAAGCGGCGGCCCAATAAGCTCAAAGGACGCTTACCTAAGCTTTGCATGGCATGCTCAACACTTTTGACCGCACTTTCCGGAATTGGTTGCGGGTACATGTTTGATGGGTCGCCGTAAAACTCGTCGTACTTGCGCTGCCCACCCAACTGGTTGCTCCAAGTGTTGTAGTCTCCGTTGCTGGGAAAATAGTTGAAGGAAGAGGGTTGCCCTTGGAAGGTTGCTGTCGAAAAAGTCGTGGACGAGCCGAACATCGCTAAAGGAGCACGCAATTAATGCCAAAAGGGCAGGAATTGATTAGTAAAATTGAGTAAGAGAACGGACTGGTGCACAACTAACTGTTATTTTGATAACTATAAGGTATACCGTCCATGGAGTAAGAATCGGGTGGGTAGCCGCTCAAAAACGTCATGTCGGTGCCGTTCGACCACGTGCCGTCGCTTACTCCATAAGTTTGATACGGATATGTTCCTGCTGCATTTCCATAATACCCTAAAAAGACGTTGCATTAAAAAAACAGACAATTGGGTACGCAGCTACAGTAACTACAGATGCTTTCTGATCACTTCTTACACCACCCAGGTGTTTGTTGCATGCTGATATTCTAAGTTCGTTTTGAGGAAACACTTCATATGAACATTAACAGTTATTTTGAGATCCCCATTCAATAGCGCCGCATACACGGGCAGATTATCCGTACAGTTCAGATACGTAGAGATTTGATTCGACAGATCCAGATCGGACGAATTAAATCTTTTCCTGTCCGCTAATTAACATACCAAGCACAAGTGCCGATTCTTCCAGTCGGATTGTGTGAGGGTGCCATTGGGCAAGAGGTGATGATGGAAAATTTGGCTATAGAAATCTTGCAAGATGATGAGATAGTAGCTAATGCCATAGGAGAAAAAACTGTATGAGCGAATAAAATAGGTTGCCCAGAACAGCCGGGGTTTAACTAAAGGGTACCTAATGATTAGTGTGCACATAACACATATGTATGTTTCTCAGAATTTGCAGGATTTCACTAAGAAAGTGGTAGATCAATTTGCCTTTTTAACGTTGGTTTTAATTCGTTCGGTTTGTATCGTTTTTTTTGGTTTTTCTATAATTATGTATTTAATTGTTTGAATAACATGGTTAATCACGAGCAAGATGCGAATTTCGTACAAAATAAATCTGCAGATCTGGACTTGCGGACCAAATTTCGCCGTTAGTGTGTACGGGCGAATACTAGTATCAGATATTATTGCCGCCTAAGCAGTCATGCTATACCATACTTCCGCTGCTTAAAGAAAAGATAAATTTTCAGATAAAATTTAACGCTTGACATTGGTACAGATTTGAGATATAGTGCATAATGTTATCTGTAATTCAAGCAATGGGCAAGAGGTGATGATGGAAAATTTGGCTATAGAAATCTTGGAAGATGATGAGATAGTAGCTAATGTAACAGGAGAAAATCACTACTTCAATTACGAAGACGAAGCTTTTCAGAAAATACCCAGTAAATAGGCGGTCGATTAATTTAATTTGTGCCTACGTAGGGCCGAAGAAAATGAATTGCCACTGTATGAAGTGATTCATCGAATTTGAATTATTGATATGTTACAGACGGTATATAGAATCAGATCGTATATGTACAGACTAGGCCATATGTTCAAGCGCAATGATGTTTACATTTTCAATTGTTAACTGCAAAAATTGTGGTTAAAATAGTTTGTTCTTTGTTAAAGGCGACGCTAAATACGCTATATTTCAGATATGAAATTACAAAAGTAAATCAGATGTAGTCATTAATAATATAAGCTCAAATTTAAAAATATAGGTTTTACGAACAACTGTATGA